AAAAAAAAAAAAAAAAAAAAAAAAAAAAAAAAAGAGACAGAATTTACCCTTTTTCCATAACTTGAGTCCTTTATCTCCTATTCAATTTCTTTTTTCGTTTGTTTGGTTTTCTGAGACAAATTCTCGCTCTGTTGCCCAGGCTGGAGTGTAGTGACACCATCATGGCTCACTGCAGCCTCAACCTCCTGGGCTCAAGTGATCCTCTCACTTCAGCCTCCCGAGTAGCTGGGACTGTTAGTATATGCCACCATACAGGACAAACTTGTAATTTTTAAATTTTTATTTTTTGTAGAGATGGGGGTCTCCCTATATTGCCCAGGCTGATCTTGAACTCCTGGGCTAAAGCAATCCTCTTCCTTGACCTTCCGAAGTGCTGGAATTAGAGGCCTGAGCCACCATGCCCAGCCTACCTATACAATTCTTTTTTCTCGTTTGACAATAGTTTTTAGGTGCTCTTCTGTGCCAGGCACATGGCCCACTGCTGGAATATGACAGTGAACAAGACAGTCAAGGGCCCTGCCCTCAGAGAACTCTGCAGTAGCAGGAAGGGGAGAGGACCAGGACAGATCATCCAAGAGAGATGATTTGGGAATGCCTTAAATTCTATGAAAAAAATGATGAGTCACGATAGTGACTTGGCAGGACAAGCAACTGCTTTAGATAGGAGAAGGCATTTCAGCAGAGACCTAAAGGTGAGGGGAGCCATGTGGGAACATATTCCAAGGGCACCCAACAGAAGTTCTCAGTTTGTCTTTTGAAAGGAGTGAAAAAGAACAGCGATAAGCCTAAACCACAAATAGAATTGCCTAGATGTCATCGTTTCCGAGGCAACCTGCCCTTTGCACATCTTTCCTTACCTGTTCATCAGTGCTTAAAGGTCCCGCAATGTGGCAACAGTCGTCACTCTCCAAAGAATGGCAAAGCTATTGGGATGGGTGGCAGCCTGACTAATCTATACAATGATAGGAGTGACTTCATTTAGGGAGTCACTCTCTCCCTGAATGAAGTTGTATTAATACAGATGTTATAAGAAAGAGCACAAGAGAACTGAGAACCTAAAGGAGGGTGGAGAAGACATAAAGAGACCCAGAAAGGGTGTTATGGGATGGTGACTGCAATGAGATAGGCCACACTGGGAGGAGCTGGAACCTTGTATGCACATTTTCTGAGCCTTTTTTATAAGCTATGTGACAATGGTTTATTAATTATTTATGAAGATATCAGTTTACTTGTTTATCAGGGCACATGAGGCATCTAGAAGTCACCACCTGTTTTGTTTTCATTTGCACCATATCTTTAGTCCATGTACCCCTAAAGGTAAATGGCCTGAAATGTAGGCAAGATCTGACTACAATAAGTATAACTCATAGGCCCAGCACAGCATATATTCTCACCTGTGGGCCAAAATGCCTTTGCTTCTCTTTTACTCTCAGTAAGAATTTTTCTTCTGTTTAAGTTCCAGCCTCCGTGAGTCATCTCAGGGGGTCCAATCGGAACATGACAGACAGCCTTTGGTTCAGCTGGAGTCCAGCCTCCGGGGACTTTGACTTTTATGAGCTGATTCTCTATAATCCCAATGGCACAAAGAAGGAAAACTGGAAAGACAAGCACCTGACGGAGTGGCGGTTTCACAGCCTTGTTCCCGGAAGGAAGTACACACTGTGGGTGGTGACTCACAGTGGAGATCTCAGCAATAAAGTCACAGCGGAGAGCAGAACAGGTGAGAAGCCCAGGTGACAATAGCCAAGGGATGGTGGGAGGTAGCTTCCAGAGACACATTTTAATTATGATTCTAGTGACAAGAGGTAAAGCCAATAATGTTATACCCTGTGCTAGCCCTGAAAATGGGAAGGGACTGTGGTACAATAGATAAAGGACAAGGCTTTGGTCCAAAAAAGCTAAGTCCTTAGCTTAGCTCTATGAATCTGGGCAGGTCACTGAGCATCGCTAGGCCTCAGCTCTCTTATCTGCAAAGTGGGGATAATCATGTACCTCATCGCTGCATGGCTATCCCCAGTGCTTCCTAACTGTTTTTATGTCATGGGCATACATAGACATCTGTGTGCCACCCTGGGGTTAATCAACAAGGCTATCTGCAATTGGATATCATTGTAGATCTCAGCCCTGCACCCCAAAATCTGATGGAATTAATACCTTCACACACTTATAACCCATTCAGGGCACACTCATGCTCCACAGCACCCTGGTAAGGAAGATCCGACTATTAATATTTAAGAAAAAGCACATGAGTCCGGGCCCAGTGGCTCACACCTGTAATCCCAGTACTTTGGGAGGCCAAGGTGGGCAGATCATTCCAGGTCAGGAGTTCGAGAGCAGCCTGGCCAACATGGGGAAACTCTGTCTCTACTAAAAATACAAAAATTAGCTAGACGTGGTGGTGGGTGCCTGTAATCCCAGCTACTTGGGAGGCTGAGGTGCCTGTAATCCCAGCCGCCTGGGAGGCAGACGTTGCAGTGAGCCAAGATCATGCCACAGCACTTCAACCTGGGCAGCAAGAGCAAAATTCTGTCTCAAAAAAAAAAAGAAAAGAAAGTACATAAGATGCTTGAGGACAGTGCCTTGCACATAATAAAAACTACTAATGAAAGCTGCTACTATATGATTATCATATTACCTCTTCCTACAAAGCACATTAAAAGTGTGTCTGACATTGCTCAGCAATCTTATTTGTATGTGTTATGGCATGGATGTGATTATGTGATTTTTCACTTTCTCCTGCATTCAGCTCCAAGTCCTCCCAGTCTTATGTCATTTGCTGACATTGCAAACACATCCTTGGCCATCACATGGAAGGGGCCCCCAGACTGGACAGACTACAACGACTTTGAGCTGCAGTGGTTGCCGAGAGATGCACTTACTGTCTTCAACCCCTACAACAACAGAAAATCAGAAGGACGCATCGTGTATGGTCTTCGCCCAGGGAGATCCTATCAATTCAGTGTCAAGACTGTCAGTGGTGATTCCTGGAAAACTTACAGCAAACCAATTTTTGGATCTGTGAGGACAAGTATGACATGTTTTGCTACTCTTGATTCTCAAATGGAATGAGAGGAAGTATATGTTCAACATCTTACTCAAATAGGGTGTGGTTTAAATCCATATTTTTACGTGGGATTGGTTAGATTTGAATTTAGGCAGAAGTCTATGTAGATTTGTTCATTCATTCAACATTAACAATAATCGACAATAAAGAAATAATCTCTCTCTGCCTTCATGGGGCTTACAATTAGGTGGGATGTGCTACGTGTAAATAGACAATGTATTTTGGGTGTGATGAGGGAAGTAAATGATACTGTAGAGACACTGGTTGGGTAATCTGACCCAATACTAGAGAACTTCTTGGGAAAGGAAATATCCAAATTGAAACCTAAAGGGAAAAATTCACCAGGTAGAGTTGGGGCAAGAAGTGGAGAATATTCCAGGTAGAGAGAATAAAATGTTCCAAGATTAGCAAGGAGGGAGAAAGGAAGATCTACTAATAGGGGAACAGAAAGAAGTTTATTTGGCCAGAGCATAAAAGGTGAGGATTAAGGGAATCAGATCATAAAATGTTTTGTATTCCATGGTAACGACTTTGAACTTCATTTTGAACCAACTAGAGTCACTCAATTTCAGCAGAGATACCATAATCATTATTTACACTTTAGAAAGTTACTCTGGATACAGTGTAGCGAATAGAATGAAAGAGGCAAAACTAGAAGCAGAGGGATCATAGTTAGGACATACTGATGTAGTCCCTGAGATAAAAAACACTTCGACGGCTGGGCGCAGTGGCTCACGCCTGTAATCCCAGCACTTTGGGAGGCCGAGGTGGGTGGATCACCTGAGGGTCAGGAGTTCAAGACCAGCCTGGCTAACATGGTGAAACCCTGTTTCTACTAAAAATACAAAAAATTTGCCGGGTGTGGTGGCATGAACCTGTAATCCCAGCTACTCAGGAGGCTGAGGCAGGAGAATTCCTTGAACCCGAGAGGCAGAGGTTGCAGTGAGCTGAGACTGCACCATTGCACTCCAGCTTAGGCAACAAGAGCAACACTCCATCTCAAAAACAAACAAACCAACAAAAAAACTTCAATAATGAAGCATATGCCAGTTTCTTCCCAAAGACATTTTGGGTTAGATACTATCACCCTCAAACAAAGAAAAGTTTTCAGTGTAGGAACTTTAATCCAAATATTTATGTTTCAATAATACCCAGTATAAGTAGCTTCCAGGATCAGATCAGATAGTTATTGGTTGTTAAGAAAATACACAGTTGAAAGTTAGAAATTTAAGCACGTAGTTGTTTTATTTTTTAAGAAGTATTAATACTATAACAGGTATAACTTTTATGCCCCATTGTATCCAAAGAGCAGTTATTAGTGTGTCAAGAGAAATACGTGAAAAAGAACTAAGAGTTTGAGTTTATGGCAAGCTCAGGATGAGTTTTCAGTGGCTGACTGTGGGCTGTGTTCATGAAATCTGTTAAGCAGAACACCTTCATTGGTTACCAGACCCAGGGAAGGACTCTCAACACTTCTGCCCATTGCCTCTGGTATTAGAGTTGCCAGGGAAACACAACGCAAACCCTGGATGGAACAAAGCTTTCCTTACACAGAGAGGAGACAGAGTAAGATCAGCCTCAACAGTATGCATCAGTCCTCCACAGCCAGCTGCAGTGGTTGTCCAGAGATGCACCTGCTGTCTTCAACCCTGACGACAACAGAAAACAGAAGGGCACATTGTGTATGGTCTCTCCCAGCAGCAAATGCAGGGCAGTTGGCTAAGTGCACCCCTCTCTGGCCACAGTAAAAGGACCCTGTCCTGTCTCCTCAGAGGACGGCTATAGCATAAGTGTTAGCCATCTGCCATGTGACCCACATGCTTAAGCAGGACAAAAGAGCCTACACTGAGCTTGCAACAGGGAAAGATACTCCCACACAAGGCAGTAAGCCCAGCACAGGTTGTGTAGGCTCTCGATATCTTGATAAGGAAGTATCTTAACCTCAAGGGCCATTTCTTATACAGCCAAATGAGGGTCGATAGACTAAGACTGCCTCTCCCAACAGCCTCACAGGTGCTCAGTTTAAGAGCTCATACAACTCTGTTAGAGGCTGGGCTTATAGATCACAACTGGACTGTTGTATTCAGTCCTGGATGCTAGAATTTAAGTGAGGCACTTACCAAATGGGGGCATGCCCCGGAGGACCAAACTGGCATGAAGAGGGCCTCAGTGCTGTGTTTTATGAGGAATGATGACTGGTGGAACTTGTTTTGTTTTTCTTTTTCAAGGATTGTATTCATTAGGATTGGGTGAGGCTGTGGGTAACAGAAAATCCAACATCGCAGATGTTTAAATGGAATAGAAGTTTATAATTTTGATGTAAAATCATTCCGGTACTCAGTTTCTCACAAATATGCTTCAATCATGATGAATGATTTGGAGTTCTCAATGTTCTACGATCCCATTCCTGGCAGCTCCTCCTTTGGTACCTGGGTTTGTGGTTTTCGCTACATAGGATGCCTCTTTCCCGATATCTTGGCAGGATCTCATTTCTGCCTTACAGCTTTTACTAACTCCTGTTGATCACTAATAGCCAGCAGCTGAAAGTTGTGTGTCACCCCACATCGCACTTTCTGTCCCCATTTCTTCTGGTACCTTTTCCTTTCTATCTTGTGTTATGGCTATTTTGGACTCATTTCCATTCCTGGAGGTGAGAGCTAATGTCTTATTTACCACTGCACTGTTCACAGTCCCCAGAAGAGCACCTGGCACATAGTAGGCACTTGTTTCTTTCTACACGTTAAAGATTTCACTCCACTCTCCTTTTGTTTGCATGGCTTCTGACAACGACATAATTCTTACCTTTGCTCCTCTAGCAGTAAGTTGGTTTTTCCCCCTCTGGCTTCTTTCAGGAATTTTTCGTTATCTTTGATTTTCTGTAGTTTGAAAATGATATTCCTAGGCATAGTTTTTTTTGGCCTATATCCTGTTTAGTGTTTTCTGAGCTTCCTGGATCTGTGGTTGGTGTCTAACATTTATTTGTGGGAAATTCTTAGTCATTCTTGTTTCCACTATTTCTTCTGTTCCTTTCTTTCTTTTTCTGGTATTCCATTTTGTGTAGGATACACCTGTCGTGGTTATTCCATGGTCCATGGATATTCTGTTCTGCTTTTCAGTCTTTGTTTTCTTTGCTTTTCAGTTTGGGAGGTCTCTATAAATATATCCTCAGGCTCAGAGACTTTCCTCAGACACGTGTAACCTATTAATAAGTCCATCAAGGCATCCTTCATTTCTGTCACAGTGTTCTGATCTCCAGCATTTCTTTTTGGTTCTTTCTTAGGACTTTCATCTGTCTGCTTACATCTCCCACCTGTTCTTGAATGTTGTCTACTTCCTCCATTAGAGCCCTTAACATATTAGTGATTGTTGTTTTAAATTCCTGGTCTAATTGTTCCAACATTCCTGCCACATCTGACTTGGCATCCTTGTTCTGGATTCTGGATCCTTGTTCAGTCTCTTCAAGCTATATCTTTTTTCCTTTAGTAGGCCTGGTAATTTTTTTCTTGATAGCTGGATGTGATGTGCTAGGTAAAAGGAGCTGCTGTAAATTGGTGTTTGGTGAGGCAGTGATGAAGCAGAGGGCAGGATAAGTGCCATCTGGTCCTCTGATTAGGTCTAGTCTTTTAGCAAGCCTATGCCTCTAGGCTGTGAACTTCGCAGGCTCTTCTCAGCAAGCCCTACTCCTACCTGAGGTGGGACAGGATGGCTGAAGTGGCTGGGGTTGGGTTGTCCCCCTTGCTCAGGTCAGTTCGGCTCTGATAAAACCCCAGCAGGTTAGGCTTTGGCTTAGTTGCCCACGGAGGGCAGAGTGCTCTAGGGTGTTTCAAAACAATTCTTTTGTTCCCCAGTTTCAGAAGCACAGGGGTATTTTTCTTTGATATTTACTTGTGAGAACCTGGTTGAGGTCCTGGAGCTAAAACTCACAAAAGTGTGGAGGGCCCCATAACGAGATCCCCTGGAGTCTTGAACTGTTACTCAGACTTGTCCACTCTTGTCCACCAGCTTTTCCTACCCCAGCCCTAGTTCCCTGGGAGATCTGTACTCATATGTCTCTGCTCGGGTGAGCCACGACACTCTGTATTTGCCTGTCTGCCCCTCCTATACCTAGATCCCAGAGCTAGTTGGACCCAAAGGAGCTGGAAAAAAAATTCTTTCAGAGTTCTGAAAAGTGTCGACGACTCTGTCTCCTTTAGAGCCTGACAAGATACAAAACCTGCATTGCCGGCCTCAGAACTCCACAGCCATTGCCTGTTCTTGGATCCCTCCCGATTCTGACTTTGATGGTTATAGTATTGAATGCCGGAAAATGGACACCCAAGAAGTTGAGTTTTCTAGAAAGCTGGAGAAAGAAAAATCTCTGCTCAACATCATGATGCTAGTGCCCCATAAGAGATACCTTGTATCCATCAAAGTGCAGTCGGCCGGCATGACCAGCGAGGTGGTTGAAGACAGCACTATTACAATGATAGACCGTAAGTGTTCCTGGAGGTGTGCATGGAGCCTCCTGTCACTGAGTGAAGGGGCTGTGCACCTTTCTCTAACACATCCATCACCGTTATTCACTTGCATACAGTTCACTTTTGCATAAGCCTATCTGATTGCTACTTGGGGAGGAGGACTTAAAAGGCTCCATGAAATAGAAACATTTTTCTGGGTAAAGTACCCAGATAGCAAACAAGTTAGATGATCTTAAAGTACCTGAATGAGTTAGTATTTAAATAGAACACTTTGCCTCACATAGTTAGAGCTATAATGGAGCTCTTAAGCAATTTGAAGCCACAACTTCAGGAAATTCTGCTGAAGAGCTGCCTCTTTCATTATGTTTAATGTGCCACTGGCAAATCACTTCCTCTGCCTGGTTTCCTTCAGGAGAGGGGGAAGAGTTTCTTGATTACAGTATTCAACATAGGCACACGCTCACACACACAGTCTGATGCAAGAGAGTAGAATCCTTCATTTCACTAACTGTTGTTTATGCTGTGAAGGTAGAGTTGTGACCCCTCTTGGTTCCTTCCCCACCTCTTTTTCCAGGCCCCCCTCCTCCACCCCCACACATTCGTGTGAATGAAAAAGATGTGCTAATTAGCAAATCTTCCATCAACTTTACTGTCAACTGCAGCTGGTTCAGCGACACCAATGGAGCTGTGAAATACTTCACAGTGGTGGTGAGAGAGGCTGATGGTAAGTTACCATGAGTTAACTCCACTCTGAGACACAGAATTGCTTTCTCAAAGGTCATGTGGGCGATCTTTCTGTAACAAGGTTTCAAGAAACTTAAGTAGAAAATGTTCCTCTCCATCAGCCTTATCTCTGCTGGATACAGGGAGATGTAAGAAAAAGCTGCTCAAAGGCTCTTTGGGCAGTAAAGCCTATTATCCTCTGGGTTTAATTATTAAATGGAAGGATAATAGCAACCACAATGATAATAACAATAACCATCATTTATTGAGCCCTTGCTGTGTGCCATGCACTATAGGAAGTACACTGCATGTAATGCCTTATTCAGTCCTCTTCACTGCTGGGTCAGTCTCATTCACTACTCTTTTGTTCTGCCATTAAACACTAATATGCCTCAACTGTCTTCACTTCTCCCTGTCCCAATACCTCATCTGATCATACACTTGCAAACCACCCACCAAGTCACAAAAATAACCAAAAGCTTAGAAGAAAAAGATGTTCATGAGAAACATTTTTCCCTTCTCCACTGAATTTTGAATTGTATGTTTCATTCTCTGGTTTTCTAAATTATTCAATACCTACCTAATTCCTACAGATAAGACAAAGCCTAGGGAATAGTTATCACGACATCCCATACAACCACTGAGTATGAGCTTTCAAGCTTATTAAATCAGCATTTGTCAAACCACTTGTAAGAGCGTTGCATTTGGGGCACACCTGTCCATGTATGTATGTGCCATTGAGGTCTTGTGTGTTATTTCTCCAAAAGGGATGCTTTTGACTGGAATGACATTAATATAGTTTACCTTTCTTATATATCTTTATACTGTTTAAGGTGCTGTATGAGGTTCTTAAGCATCCCTGATAATTGTGACCCATTTGTGGGTAAGGGGGGAACTTGAAACCTGACAAACTCTGAGGCAGTTTCTGGGCTCACAGGTATTTTAGGCTCACATATCTAACAGTCTGTGTGCTTCCACAGTTTATTTAATTGTACTAAATCTGGTTATGGACAATTAATTAAATAATTTCAAGGGTCAGCAGTATGTCCCAGATTTCCTCATACCACATAATTGAAGATAAATTGGTGAACTGTGGAAAGACTTTAGACTTCATTAGACTGCAATGAAGACAGTGTTTTACTACATGCATGTAAGATAGTAAGCAAAAAAGTCACACCCCAGAAAGTAGCCTTGCGTTCCCCAGCCAGATAGGTTTCTATTATTCATGTCCATGGAGATGGGCTGCGATTTCCAGGTTATCTAAGATAACAATCCATCTCTCATAAATGCCATTTATAGTGTATATATACTCATGCTAAAGACAACATTCCTTTTTAACTACTGCCAACAAAATATTTCTAAGGCCCACTTATGAGCAAATCTTATTAAACAAGAGTCCGGGATGCTATGATAAACCCCCATTACACCACTCCTTGAAGCTCACTGTAAATAGCATCTGATCGCTATAGTATTTTATCTTCCTACTTATGCTTTTCTCTAGCCAACATCAAAACTGGTTTGCAGTGCCAAGACACACAACAGGCTGGGTGGACAGAGGAAGAGTTCTGGGAAGTGCTCTGAGTAAGGGGCCAAATTTGGACGAGGATTAAACTGTACTCAAGATAACAGAGAGCCACACACAGAGCAATGAGCAAACTGGGCATGGCATGTGGAGCGCCCCTTGTGGGATGACTGCTCTGGCCTAGGACATGATTTCTCTTATCTGTTTCCTATTTCCCAGGTCATAGGGGTTTCCTTATTAGCTCAACTACAATGGTTATTGGCAGAGAGTTTATCAAGTGGGCTGACTCACAGTGGGAGTTGGCCAACACTCTGGAGTTGTGAGACATGCTATCATTTAATGCAATGAGCTACCCTCATTTTATTTCCTAGGAAAATGATGAGCTATATGTGCATGTTTGTATCTGTGTGTGTATTTTATAGACATAGTATTTATTTTTATGTATTTTAGAAAAAGTGAATTAAAAATTATTAGGAGAATTTTACATCATCCTTTGAGATCACAGAATCTGTACTTTGGAAATGGCCAGAGATAACGGATGAGGAGGCAGCCGTAGAAACCTAATTTTAAATCATTGAAATCACTTAAGTCACAAGAAAGGCAGCCTTTAACTGTGGGTTTTCTCCTCCAGGCAGTGATGAGCTGAAGCCAGAACAACAGCACCCTCTCCCTTCCTACCTGGAATACAGGCAGAATGCTTCCATTCGGGTGTATCAGACTAATTATTTTGCCAGCAAATGTGCCGAAAATCCTGACAGCAACTCCAAGAGTTTTAACATTAACCTTGGAGCAGAGATGGAGAGCCTAGGTGGAAAATGCGATCCCACTCAGCAAAAATTCTGTGATGGACCACTGAAGCCACACACTGCCTACAGGTTAGATGTATTACCACTGTTTTGCTAGAAGGGACATGCTGCGTTACTTGGCACTCAGCTGTCTGAGCATCTGATGCATGTGAGCTTCTGCAGATTAATAACCTATGTTACTTACAAGAGTACTCTGCATTTTCCTGGGTAATTTATAAAAGCTGGATTCCTGTCTCCACTTGCAGGTAATGTGTTTAAAGGGACTTCATCAATATGCAAAAGCTCTAGTACATTAATGGAAAAATTGAAGGTTTTTAATAGATTGTTCCTTCTTCTTTTTTTTTTTTTTTTTGAGACCGAGTTTTTGCTCTTGTTACCCAGGCTGGAGTGCAGTGGCACCATCTCAGCTGACTGCAGCCTCTGCCTCCTGGGTTCAAGCAGTTCTGCCTCAGCCTCTCCAGTAGCTGGGATTACAAGTACGCACCACCATGCCTGGCTAATTTTTGTATTTTTAGTAGAGACAAGGTTTCACCGTGTTGGCCAGGCTGGTCTCCAACTCCTGATCTGAAGTGATCCTCCTGCCTCAGCCTCCCAAGCTGGGATTACAAGTGTGAGCCACCATGCCTGGCCCTTCTACAACTTTTTAAAATATGAGTCCAATGCTTTACCTTGCTCATTATTGTGAAAATGTCCAAATAAAAAGACTGAGTTTAGGAAGATCTAAACAATGTGAAGTTATGTCATCTGCTTATACTGCAAACTGAAATTATACTCCCTTGTTTACCTTCTAAGGCATGTAAAGATGGAAGTGCTCTTTGGGCCAGACAGACCTCTGGAATGCAGAGGAGGCCCCTGAATGAATGGGGACACCCTATTTTCCCCACTGAGATGACAAATGAAAAGAAGCAGCTATTTGGCTTTGGCTTCAGGAAACATTACTGCAGCCACTAGGCTCTTCTGCCCTAGGAACTGGCGGTGCTCTTGCTCTGCACTAAGTTTTCAGAAATTAGGTACATATAGCATCCTAATCAGCATCCTCAAGAGAAAGGTAACCAAGGCTACTGTGTAGGATATAGAGCTACAGACATCCAAGATTATTACTTCTGCAGAGGATGTACCTTCTGTGTTGGGTGTTGGAAGAGCTGATATGTAACCAATAAGGCAGTAAATTAGGTTTTCCATGGGCCATGGTCCATCTGGTTCATTGACGCTGAGGTCTTATTGATTCTCACATATTTGGAGTATCACTCCTAGGTCTCAGTAAAAAGAAAACTCTCCTGCCAGTTCCAAAAGGAGACTATGACATAGCATCACACCCGAGAAAGTTCTTAGCCCTGCCTCACATCAAAAAAGGCAGACAGATGTTTTTCCTGAAACAAAACACTCAGTTTTGGCAGGACCTCTGTATAGCTACCTTTGCCCAGGACTCACCAGATACTTGCTGCTGCCTCCCAGGCAAGGTCAGCGCCTCCAGATTAAACACACACAAACTTTCTAGTGATATTTATTTCAAAAAGAGACCATATGAGCCTACCTAAAGGAAATGAGATTTCAGAAGAACAAAAGAGAAACATGAAAGATCAGAAAACCAGGATTTATCAGTTTCTATAAGAATCAAGAAATGCAGCAGGCATGGTGGCTCACGACTGTAATCTCAACACTTTAGGAGGCCAAGGTGGGCGGATCACTTAAGATCAGGAGTTCGAGACCAGCATGGCCAACATGGTGGAAACCCTGTCTCTACTAAAAATACAAAAATTAGCCTGGCCTGGTGGCGCATGCCTATAATCCCAGCTACTTGGGAGGCTGAGGCAGGAGAATCACTTGAACCCTGGAGGTGGAAGTTGCAGTGAGCTGAGATCATGCCACTGCACTCCAGCTTGAGTGACAGGGCAAGCAAGACTGTCTCAAAAAAAAAAAAAAAAAAAAAAAAAAAAAGAATTAAGAGATGCCTCAGCTCCTTGGTTACCTGGGCTCAAGGAAACTTGAGCAAAAATCACCTAAGGACTATTTTCTCTTTTTGAGTTGGAAAATTGAGGCTGATTTTGTTTGTTTACTTATGGAGATGGAAGAGGTGAAGATAACTCATTACTAAATTTCAAAGAGAGAGAGAATAAGAAGCTGTAAAAAAATGTATGTCCAGACCAGAGCCCAGCAATCTCCCAGCACCCATAGTAGCAGTGGAGGTCTTTGGAAGAGCCCCTGCATTTGAGTTCCAGCTCTGCCACTTTTTAACTGTGTAACGTTGTAAGCAGCGTTTCAGTTCCCTAACCCTCACCTTCCTCACCTGCAAAGCACCATAAAGTTGTCCTGAGCAGTAGTCCTGAGTATGTGGCACATCAAACCTAGCCATGTCCCTTCTAGACATGGCTTAAGGTTTTCCTATTCACTTACAAGAGCAAGTGCAGATTCCAGTCCAGGGCACACTAAGCCCGGTTTTCTCCTGCCTGCCTCACCAGCTTTGTCTCCAACCATATTTGCTCCAAGTACCCAGGGCTCTCTTGCTACTCCTCACTCCTTGGAGTTTCCTGAATGTGACATGGTTCCTTTATATGGCTGAGCCTTTGCATCTTTCACTCTCTTTTCACAATCTTTTCACTTTCAGATGCTTTCCACTCTTATCTGGCTGGCAAATTCTCCATACACTTCAAAAGCCAGCTCAACCCTCAGCCACCCACACTATCCTGTGAACCCACAGCTGGGCGGTTGGGTGCACCATGAGCTCCACATCCACATCCACAGCACACCCTCCATTCCTCCAATCCTACATTGACCAGAGGCTTTTAACCTTTTATTGAATTACCTGCCCTCTTCACTAGCCTGCAAGAGCTCACAGTCCAACAAGGGAGACAGATGTGTCATTGGTTACAAAACAATATGGCAAGTACTTGGCACAAAAGACATGCTTGTGAATTGTTTATGAACAAATATGGGAATGAGCCAAGACGCTCTATGGAAGTAATGCATTCGTGTTATGGCTTCATCATCTCTGTGTATTTACTCGTTTTCCAGAACACAGCTTTCCTATATTTCTCCAATATATATGTTTAGTTCAATCCTATTAAAAGCATGCTGGACAGATAATGCCTGATGATAGGAGGTATAGTCTCCTAAAGCACATCAGAGAACCACATGCGAATCAGTCTCTTGAGTGGTGCCTGCTGAACTCAGGCCATCAGAATTCTGCCTGTCTCAAGACGATCATTACCACGGTGACCCTCCTTGTTGTTAGGCATCCTTTTATCCAAAGGGAATAGGTGGACAGGAAATAGCATGGAAAAAGAAAAATTAGGGTTGAGAAGAAATGGGAAATGCCAGGTTTAGCTGATACGCAAGTTTATTGTGTCAACGGATATAATGTGTTTTATTCATTGTTGGGTTCCTGTTATTCATATGTATTATTCCATTGTTCCATATGGAAAGAGAAAGGGCAGATCATTATGAGGAGAGAGAGTTGGAAGGTTAGCAAAGTGCTGGTTTGGTTTTGTTTTTATTCTAAATAGAAAAGCAGTGTGACCATAGACAGATGGTCAGCTTCTCCTGACCTCATTTTCTTGAAATGAGGGAAATTGAATCACATGATCTCTAACTTTCTGTTATAGAACTCTGATTCTGGACACATTTAAAGTGGAAAAAATTCTATCTGATATTTGTTCATTAAAATAGTGTCTTATTCATGTTATTGTGTCATATTCATAATTATCTTGCTATAATATATTCAGCATATGTTTTATTGCCTTCTCTGGGAGTAGGTGTTGTTGGATGGTAAGTAAATAAGGTGGAGCCACTGCCTTCAAGGAGCTTACAATGTGGGGAGAGAAAGAAGTCACGTCTGTAAAATAGAGGCAGAAATGTTGAAGGATATAAGGAATAAAGGAAAATAAATGCTGTGAAGGTTCAGAAGGCTTCTCAAAGGATGTATTAAAACACAGGAATTAAAATATAGGAAAGGATTTAGGAATATGCAGATAGGGACAGAAGGAGATTCAATGTGGAAGGAATAGTGGGAGTCAAAGTGTGGAGGTTTAAATATACAAATTGTTTAGAGAAGAACAAACAGTCCAGTTTCAAACAGAGAGTGAGTAAAAAGGAGTACACAGGGATGATAGGACGGGACAGGATTGTGGGTGGGCGCTAAGTGCTGGGCTGGCGGAAGTAGTTGTTATTTCATTTTTGGAAACGTTTTAAGAGTGCCTGATGACCCATTGATTTTAAGCTGGACTTATGCTAGGTCATTATCTCCTTCCTAAAAGTCCTTACTTATCTGCATCCATTCAGTACTTTGTGTTTACACCTGTGACTTCAGAGCAGAACATGTCAAGGTTGTTAGTAGCCAACGCTTTCATTTGACAGATGAGGCATAAAAAACTTTAGGGACATTTCAACTAACCAGCAATGGAGTAAGAGAGAGATCTAGACCCCAGATCTTCTTGTTCCTAGCCTAGCCTCTTTTTACCATCCTTCCTACAAAAGTTGTGTGGGGTGGGTGTATGTGTGTGTGTGAGAGAGAGAGAGAGAGAGAGAGAGAGAGAGAGAGAAAAGCAGTGGGGGACGGATGGGGTGCAGTGACATGATCTCAGCTCACTGCAACTTCCACTTTTTGGATTCAAGCGATTCTCGTGCCTTGGCATCCCCAGTAGCTGGGACTACAGGCAGGCATCACCACACCTGGCTAATTTTTGTATTTTTAGTAGAGATGGGGTTTCACTACGTTAGCCAGGCTGGTCTCAAATTCTTGGCCTGATGTGATCTGCCTGCCTCGGCCTCCCAAAGTGCTGGGATTACAGGCATGAGCCACTGTGCCCAGCCAGAAGTCACTGCTTTTAACCAAAAATTAAGCCATGAGGAAATAAGAAAAGAGAGTCTGCACTAGAACCAGAAATATGAAGTTCAGTTTTCTTTCATCATCTTTCTGTGTGATCTTGGGGAAGACATGAACTCTCTCCTAGCCTCAGGTTCCAAGCCTCTGAAGTAATATAATAAGCTTCCTTATTATATTGGAGAGGCTGAACATGATCAAACAGAGCCATGTTTGAAAAAGTCCTTCTGGCTAGGTGCAATGGCTCATACCTGTAATCCCAACAATTTGGGAAGTCAAGGCAGGCAGATCGCTTGAGCCCAGGAATACGAGACCAGCCTGGGCAACGTGGTAAAACCCCATCTCTACTAAAAATACAAAAATTAGCTGGGTGTGGTAGTGTACACCTGTAATCCCAGCTGCTCAGGAGGCTGGGGTTGGAGGATCACTTGAGCTCGGGACATGGAGGTTGCAGTGAGCCTTGATTGTGCCACTGCACTCCAACCTGATGATAGAGCAAGACCCTGTCTCCAAAAAAAAAAAAAAAGAAAAGAAAAGAGAAAAAAGTCTTTCCACACTTATAAATAAGAAACTCTTATCAGAGACACTCAATTTTTAAACGTATAATAAATTAGCAACACACTTGCCAAGGCATTGGTATTTTAGTGGTTAGCAGAGCTTGCCTTCCAAAATTAGCAACACACATCATCTCCTCACCTTCCCCTTTAATGTGTGGTGACTGCTGGTGACACTTTGTGGACATTTCTCAGTATACTTCCATTGACAGCCCGTTATTCTTGAAAGAACACCTTTTTACTTGGAATGTGTCTTTTGGAGATGAAAATTATAGATGTGATTTACCAATATCATCTTGATGTTCATTTTTGAGGATTACACTCAGATCTGGGCATGGGTTAGGAGGAGAGGAAGCAGGGTCAGAACTATTTTCCCTGGCCTAGTACTGCTTCAGCATTATCACAGCACATGCCCAGATACCTTTGGGTTCAAGAAGTATAGACTTTTTTAAAAAAAAGAAAGAGGAGTACTTCTGGTCACTTTCTTAGAACTGAAAATAACACTAGTGAAAGTTTTCCCATGTAAACCAAGCCTAATTCTCTATCCGTACGATTAGAGAATCTTCACAACAGGAGGGACTCAAGAAGTCACGCAAGCCAGTCTTTAGCATAGTGCAGTGATGCCCTCCTGTATCTTCCCTGGGACTGGTTCTCCTCCAGCCTCTATCTGAATCTCACCCCCATCCTCCCGCCCCCAGTGACTGGGAGCTCACAACCTAGGAGGTAGCTCATATTCTACTGTTAGAAAACAACTTAATGTTCCTAACCTCCTCCTTCCTTGTGACTTCAGCCTACTAAGCCTAATTCTACTTTCAAGAAGAAAAATAGCCATATTACTTTCCTCTTCTACATGGCAACCTTCCTTAAATCTGAAGCTAACTATATGATGTCCCTTGAAGTCTTCTCTATCATTGTTCAGGTCAACCACCTCAAATGATCTCTAATTCATCCTAAAATAGGCCCCCAGAAATTGAGTGCAGCCCTCTAGGCTGGCCTGACTTGTGCAGAGAGCACAGGACTTAGGTCCTATGATGGGGAATCACAGGCTTCTCTTTCAAGGAGAGGTTATAAATCTGTTGTGTTTGTAGCTGCGTCTTGCTTGTTTATTGAATTTAGGACCAGCTGATTTTCAGGCACTGTCCCACATAGACACGTGGACAGCCACCTCAGCAACTCTTCTGCCCAGGTGACTGGAATAACTCGTGTCAGCTGGATAGTTCCAAATCCATGCCTCACTGTCCCTCTAAATCCAGTATATTCCAAGAAAAGCATATCCTCCTTCACCAATCCCTCTCCTTATTTTTTTTTTTTTTAAGACAGAGTCTTGCTATGTCACCCAGGCTGGAGTGCAATAGTACAGTCTTGGCTCACTGCAGCCTCGGCTCACTGCAGCCTCCACCCCACAAGTTCAAGCAATTCTCCTGCCTCAGCCTCCCAGGTAGCTGAGATTACAAGTGCCCACCACCACGCTGGGCTAATTTTTGTATTTTTGGTAGAGATGAGGTTTTCCCATGTTGGCCAGGCTGGTCTCGAACTCATAACCTCAGGTGATCTGCCTGTCTTGGCTTCCCAAAGCACTCAGATTACAGGCGTGAGCCACCGTGCCAGGCCTCTCTCCTCATTTCCATCAATGATGTCACTATTCTCCTGAATGACGTGAGCTCAAGTCGCAGGCCATCCTTGATTCCTCCCTGCTCCTCTTCTGTCTGGGCCACACCTAGATCCTCCTCTGAGTGCCTTTGACAGTCTTCTTTCCATTCTTATTGCCAGGTCTCCTAGCCAGGGCCCTGTGTCCTTGGCCTGATTATCACAGCAGTCTCTTCATTGAGCTTTCTGCTCCCAGCCACCTCACCTCCTATGCCCACACACACAGTTTCCTCCAAATTCTACTATTCCTCATTTGCCATTGTATGTACACTTTCTTTGTTTGCTGTTTGCCTTATTCCTTTGTATTTTGTCTTTCACGTTTCCAAGACTAGTGACCACACATCTCTTTGTAACTTCGACCGTTTATAAAGAAGGCCCTTAACAAATATTTCTTGACAATCAATATGATATTAGAATATTTTTAGATAAAATGATATTTTAAAAATAGTGCTAAAAGATGAGGAGATATGTAAGTTAAAATAGCATTAATAATGTTGATACTTGGGCCACCTGACTGCTCTAATGGGCATCTCAGAATTAATTCCCCCACAACTAATCTATCTAGATCTTTCAAACCCCCCAATCTACTTCTCCATAGTTTTCCCTCATGTTAGTAAATGATGCTTCCATTCTTCCCGTCGTTCCCCAGCCAGGACATGTGGGATCATCCATACTCTGTATTCGTCAGCAAATCTTTTAGTTTTCCTTCAGTACATCCAGCACTTCTCACTCACTGCCTCCATCACTGCCATTCTGAATAAAGCAGTCCCACGTGCTCGATTCCCATTGCTTTCCTTACCCTTCCTTACTCCGCTCTTTTCTTTTTCATAGCACACGTCTCATCTGATTTATTGAATTTGTGTGTTTATTGTCTGACTTCCTCCATGAGAATGTAAATTCTGGAATGGCAGGGACTTGGTTTTGTTCCTTGCAAAGTCCCAGGTCCTAGAGCAGTGATTGGCATGTGGCAGGGGCTCAATAAATATTTATGAATAAATTGATGAATGAATGCATGAACCCAGGTCTGTCTGATTCCATAACTCATATTCTACCCTGCTACACATTGATCAGGTACCATCCTGCTTCTCCTTGAACACATTTTTCAACTACTGTGCTCAGCAACTAATTTATATTTAAATAAATTGGTTTTCTTTTCAGAATCAGCATTCGAGCTTTTACACAGCTCTTTGATGAGGACCTGAAGGAATTCATAAAGCCACTCTATTCAGACACATTTTTTTCTTTACCCATCACTACTGAGTCAGGTAAGGCTAACCTTTACATCATGTTCTGCCAACTGCCATGTCACCTACAGGAGCCTCTAATGGGGAGATATTGGCTGATGCTGGGGGAACGTTTATTTTCACTTGGAACTTAATCTTTATGTGACCAAAACTTGAGGTGGATTAAAGGGATCACACAACTTCTCTAGAAGAATGGATTGAAAGGGGATTAATCTAAAAAGAAGGTGGAAATACAGTATTATTTTTAATTAAAAATGAATTATTTTCTGAAAAGTGAATGAAAACCACTAAAATCAAGAGTTTTCACAGCCCAAAATATAAGTTAGTACAAAAGGCTTTCAGTTAAAAGTGAGAATGTTTATATGCTTATACACAGAAATGCTCAGGAAAACAGACTAAAAGAAAAACATCAAATATTAATGATATGTATCTCAAAGTAGTGGAATGACAGGTGATTTTTCTTCCTTTTGCTTGCTACGTGTTGGCTTTGTACTGTTGAAAGCTGTAAATGTAAAAGACTATACGTAACAATTTCTTTTTTTTTTTTTTTTTTTTTTTTTGAGACAGAGTCTCACTCTGTCACCAGGCACCAGGCTGGAATGCAGTGGTACAATCTCGGCTCACTGCAACCTCCACCTCCCGGGTTCAGGCAGTTCTTCTGCCTCAGCCTCCTGAGTAACTGGGACTACAGGCACACACCACCACGCCCAGCTAATTTTTGTATTTTTAGTAGAGTTGGGGTTTCACCATATTGGTCAGGATGGTCTCGATCTCTTGACCTCATGATCCGCCCACCTCGGCCTCCCAAAGTGCTGGGATTACAGGCTTGAGCCGCCACCGCACCTGGCCTATACGTAACAATTTCTAAAAGAGTATATTAGAGGTAAAGTCTAAGTAATAACAGAGGCTAGTACTTCTCTATGGAGACACAGTTTTAAGCATTTTACATAGAATAACTCGTCCAACTCTCATGGCAATCTTCTGAGGTAGATGCTATTATCATCCCCATTTTAAAGATGAGGACATGAGGCACCAAGAGATTAAGTAACTTGCCCAAGATGGTACAGCTGAAACTCTGGCACTTTCTGCCAGGGCATACAACCTCTGCACTGCCCTGTCTCTGAATACTTCCGCCAGGCTGAGAATAGCATCATTTCATCACCTTCTTTCTCAACACCATCGTCTGCGTAGCCTTCTCCTATAGCCCGTGTTCTGCAATGCTTGATCTCTGGGTCTGCGAAGTTCTTTACAGCTAAAACCGTCTCTCATGCTGCATGACAAGAGATGACTCAGCCTCACAAACATTCCAATCAATTTATGCCAAATACAGGGATAATCTCCCACTTTTCAAGCCAAAGGGGGATGAGAATATAGTTAAGCGGATTTAGATGTCTTTGTTTATAATTTAATGTACGGACTTTGTAAACACAATTTTCTTTTCTGAAATATCGTTACATGACAAAAATTGCATGTAGTCCAGTATAGGAAGACAGTAAACATATATTCCAAAAAAGATGTTAACCACATTCAAGGATGATTGTGTTGATTTGATGAGTCTTGAAAAGCAACATGGAAGGAACAAATCTAAGGTCTTAAAATGCAACTTCCAAAATGGACTACTTCATAGACCTAAATTTAAGGGGTAACACAGTAACACTTTTACAAGAAAATATAGGTGTAAATCTTTGTAACTTTGGATTTGAAAATAGCTTTTTAGCTATGACACCAAAAACATAAGCTACAAAAGAAAAAATAATTTGGATTTAATCTAAATTTAAACTTTTGTGTTTCAAAGGACACTACCAAGAAAGTAAAAAAGACAACCTACAGAATTGGGAGAAAATATTTACAAATCACATATCTGATAAGGGCTGAGTGTCTAGCATATAGAAAACTCTTACCTCACAATTTAATAACAACACAAATTACACTGTGTGTGTGTGCGTGTGTGTGTGTGTGTGTGTGTGTGTGTGTGTGTGTATATGATGGAGTCTCGCTCTGTCGCCCAGGCTGGAGTGCAGTGACATCATCTCAGCTCACTGCAACCTCTGCCTCCCAGATTTAAGCAATTCTTCTGCTTCAGCCTCCCCAGTAGCTAGGATTACAGACACATGCCACCATACCCAGCTAATTTTTGTATTTTTGGTAGAGATGGAGTTTCACCATGTTGGCCAGGCTGATCTCAAACTCCTGACCTTGTGATCCACCTGCCTTGGTCTCCCAAAGTGCTGGGATTACAGGTGTGAGCCACCACACTAAGCCAAATTACACAATATTTAAATGGGCAAAGGCTCTGAATAGACATTTCTCCAAAGAAGATGTACAATTGGCCAGTAAGCACATGAAAAGCTGCTTAATATTGTTAGTCATTAGGGAAATGCAAATCAAAACCACAAGAAGGTACCACTTCACACCCAGTAGCATGGCTGTAATCAAAAAGACAGTAACAAGAGTTAGTGAGGATATGAAGAAATCAGAACCTTCCATACACTGCTTATGAAAATGTAAAATGGTATCGCTGCTTTGAAAAAGTTTATAGAAATATTAAACTCAGAGTTACCATACGACCCAGCTTTTGACTCCTCATTATATACCCAGGAGAAATGAAAACATGTCCACACAGAAACTTGTAGGTGAATGTTCATAGCAGCATTATTCATAATAGCCAAAAAGTAGAAACAATCTAAATGTCCATTGATGGATGAATGGATAAACAAAATGTGATATATACATGCAATGAACTATTATTCAACCATAAAAAGGAATGAAATCTTGGTATATGCTATAACATGGATAAACCTTGAAAACATTATGCTAGGCTGAGTGCGATGCCTCAGGCCTGTAATCCCAGCACTTTGGGAGGCCGAGGCAGGTGGATCACAAGTTCAGGAGTTTGTGACCAGCCTGACCAACATAGTGAAACCCTGTCTCTGCTAAAAATGCAAAAATTAGCCAGCCATGCTGGCATGCACCTGTAATCCCAGCTAACTACACAGGAGGCTGAGGCAGGAGAATCACTTGAACCTGGAAGGCAGAGGTTGCAGTGAGCCAAGATCATGTCACTGCACTCCAGCCTGGGTGACAGAGCGAGACTCTGTCTCAAAAAAAGAAAGAAAAGAAAACATTATACTAAATGAAAAGAGCCAGTCACAAAAGATTGCGGATTTATGATTTAATTTCTATGAAATGTCTAGAATAGGCAAATCCACAAACACAGAAAGTAGATTAGTAGTTGCCAGAGATCTCGGGGAGGAGGAATGGGGCTGACTGCTGTAGGTATGCAGTTTCTTCTGAGGGTGATGAAAATGTTTTAAAATTGATTGTGGTGACATTTGCAAAACTCTGTGACTATACTAAAGACCATTGAATTGTACAGTTTAGATGGGTGAATTGCATGCTATGTGAATTATATTTCAATAAAGCTATTTTTAAAATGAGGCCACTCTTACCACTTCATAAACTCCCCGTGGCAGTATCATACCAGATAATAAAAATAAGACTTTGTTAAAATAGTTCCAAGCAATCCACTGGATTTTCCAAAGCCCCAGTGCTGTGTAATATGTTTTATATAAATGAAATTGCATTTTTATCTTGGTGGCAAACTTACAGCCTTTATTTTAGGTGCCCCAAGCTTTACATGTAAGCACAAAGTCCAAAATTCCTCTATAAGCTAGACACCATTAACTTCAAAAGTGCACAGCGGCATCTGGCCTCACTGCTACAGGGTGGGAGCCAGCCTTTCATCTTTTTAGGTGCATACTTATAGCCTTTGGAAAGTAAGTGGCTCATTGTGGGCATCATTTGAATTCTACTTGTAATAACATTACTTGGGAGTTATGGCTTTATTGCTTTCTTACTGGTTCCCTAGCACTAATTTTCCCATCTGGATGTGTTGTTTCTATCTGGATTATTGTAGAGCCCTTGTTTGGAGCTATTGAAGGCGTGAGTGCCGGTCTGTTTTTGATTGGCATGCTAGTGGCTGTTGTTGCTGTATTGATCTGCAGACAGAAAGTGAGGTAAGTACAAAGATCCTTCTGGTGATTGGACCCACAACTTGAAAAATGCAACTGAAAATTCCCATAGGCTGAAAAGTAAGGAGGGAAAATAATTTAATTTTTCCAGGTTAAATTGTCACTGTTTTCTCAATAAGAATGAAGTCAAACTCTAAAGCCATGTCTCACTTTTCTCAGCATTTTTTTTTTTTTTTGAGATGTAGTCTCGCTCTGTCACCCAGGCTGGAGTGCAGTGGCATGATCTTGTCTCACTGCAACCTCCACCTCCCAGGTTCAAGTGATTCTCCTGCCTCAGCCTCCAAAGTAGCTGGGATTACTGGTACGTGCCAACATGCCTGGCTAATTTTTTAAAATATTTTTAGTAGAGATGGGGTTTCATCATGTTGGCCAGGCTGGTCTCGAACTCCTGACCTCATGCTCCACTCACCTCAGCCTCCCAAAGCGCTGGGATTACAGACTTGAGCCACCACACCCGGCCTTCTCAGCTCTTTTATATCCCATTGATGAATGTGGCCCTTACCAAATGACTGAGAGGCAATTTATAGCTTTATTTGAAGACAAAGTGACTCTTTTTGCACAGGAAAAAAAAAAAAATGTGTGTGTGGTTCATATCCTCATGAAGACAGAGATGTTTGCAAATTGTATGCCCAAGTGCTTTTCTGCAATATCCTGAAAAGTGTGGTTGACATCACCATTTTGTAGTTCGTATCTTCCATCCTAATTTAAGATGGGACCAAAAAGAACCAAATAGCATGTGGCCCCAATGTCGTGCCTTCTTCTCTTAGTGAATTTTTTTTTTCTTAATTTGGCACATGTTACTCTTTCTTGAAGTCGTGTCTGGCATCTGAAATTTACTGGGGTTTTTTTTTTTTTTTTTTTTTTTTAGCAAAGTTTTATTGAGAATGTGGGAAGTGATTATAACTTGTAGCCAAAAACTAGGAGACAGACCTTCAGTTTTTGCAGAGATCTGTTTCTGGGTGGGAATGATCTACTTTATTCTCTTTCCTTTCCCTTCCTCAGAGAGATGTTGGCTGAGTGCAAATCTATGTGAATACTGAAAAAATCCTTATTTGTACAAACATGTACAGCCTTACCATAAATGGAAAAATTTGTTCAACCCAAGTATCATAATTGAAATAAAAGTTCTCTCCCTTATGTTTCAGCCATGGTGGAGAAAGACCCTCTGCCCGTCTGAGCATTCGTAGGGATCGACCATTATCTGTTCACTTAAACCTGGGCCAGAAAGGGTAAGCACCACATTTGCCTTCATATAATTTATTGAAAGATGGTATTATGTGAGATTGGCTAACAAAGTCTTCTTTTGGCTTCCCTTCACAGTAACCGGAAAACATCCTGGTAAGAGAACACATTAATTATTTTATTATCTGCCTTTGAAACATGCGTCTGAATGGTTATGGGACTTTCCCTATTCTGCAGTAACTCTCTTTTCTTTTTCGTTTTTAATTACAGTCCAATAAAAATAAATCAGTTTGAAGGACATTTCATGAAGCTGCAGGCTGACTCCAACTACCTTCTATCCAAGGAATACGAGGTACAACTCAGGCAGAATGAAGCTTCAGCATCCCTAGTTCTCAGCAGAATTTCCCTCCTAACGTTTACTGTGTAATCATAGGCTGATTGGACTCAGAAGTTAGGAGGCTGCTTAGAATCTCAGCTGAGTACTCTTTTATGCCGAAAGTATGCCCTGAACAATGTACCATCTAATCTCAGAGGCCAGCTTGAGTTCCAGAATAACACAGCATAGCAAGGGCTACCTGGATCAGACAGTAATGAAGAATTACCAAATCTCAAATGCAGACATAATGCTGTCAATTATCCAGACTAGCCATTTGCTTGGCTGGGAGAGACTGTGGTTTGGCAAAAAGCACCTAGCTTTTGGATTTGATTCTTGGGTTTGCCACTTGGGTGACCTGGGGCACATCCGTTATCCTGTCTGAGCCTCACTTGTAAAACAGTGAGAACACCTCCCTTGTGGGGCTGTTGTGGGGATCAGAGCTAATGCGTGTTGAATACTAGGCATTCACAAACGGTAGCTAGTGGATATGTTTTCATATTGTATATCTCCAGGACTGTATGATACGCTTTATTCTATTTATAGTCTCCACTTACAAACTTATTTTTGACCTAACAGGAGTTAAAAGATGTGGGTCGAAACCAGTCATGTGACATTGCACTCTTGCCAGAGAATAGAGGGAAAAATCGATACAACAATATATTGCCCTGTAAGTTCTGTGTCAAAATTTGTAATGCTGTCTTCCTCTAGCCATTTCTGCATTTTTCTCCAAAAACGAAATGGGGCTAATGATATATAATATAGCTGGATATGGACACTCTCAAGCTCTGAATGACTTTAATAAGAAATAACTTGTATATTTCTGCACTTCCCTCTAGAGGGATAATAGCCAGTTTAAATTCTGATTATGAAAGGCCTCTTACGCTGTCGACCTTTCCCCATGTGGTCCTACTGCTTCTCTTTGCAGGCTAAGAACAGTAATGAGGTTAACAGCAAGGGCTCTAACATAAGCAGACGTGGGTTTGCTTAGCAAAGTCTTCCTTAACAATTTCTGCTTAAATTTCCCTACCCTATTGGGTAAAGCAATAGAAGGCAGGTTTTCTGGACTGCATTCATTCCAGCAGTGAAAGGGAGCTGGCCACTCCACCAGGCAAATGTGGCAATGTTACAAAGGGAAGCACAGATGGAGCTTCACGTTGTCTCCTGTGTCTGAGTGGTTACAGGCCACCTGTGCAACCTTGGGCAACTTAGTTATCCTGTCTGAGCCTCATCTGCAAAATGGAGATAAGATCACCTCCCATCTGGGGCTACTGTGGGGATCAGAACTAAGGCACATCACACACATTACATCAACTATAGAAAAATCACCCCAAGATTCAGCTGCAAATCTCTCCTTCCAGATGATGCCTCGCGAGTGAAGCTGTCTAATGTAGACGATGATCCTTGCTCTGACTACATCAACGCCAGCTACATCCCTGTAAGTGAACTACCAGGCCACAGTGTTCAGGATGAGGCTTTGGTGGGTGGCAACACTGGAGATGCCACTCCTGCATGTTCCCACTATTCTTAGGTCTGGAAATGCTTGTAGATTTCACAGGAGCATGTCTGAATGCCATTTAAAAAAAAAAATGGGGTATCCAATTCAGTTCCTGCTAAGCCACATTTTTCACAATGGCTATAGTCAAATGAAATTATAATGAGCCCAGGATGCATTTTCATAGGTCATCTACTCTCTGCAGTCCTTAACCAAGATGAGAGCTTCCTAAGGAAGATGGACCTCCCCTGCTAAAGCTGCCTAGCTAGAGAAGTTGATCCCATGTTATTTGGACTCTTCACAACCACAGACACAACTCAAAGGTTATGTCAAATCTTTGGGCTCTGGTTTTGCTTAGCATCTTGCCACCTTCCTATAGCACACTGCGGTGGAAAAAGCTTTAAGGTCAAGCAAACCTAGGTTTGAATCCCACTTCTGCCCTTTGTTGACTCTGTGACCTTGGGCACATTATATCACTTTTTTGGGCCTCCATTTTCTTTTCCAAACACTGAGGATAATCAGATTTACTCCAAGCAATTATCCATTCACTCAGTAAACACTTAGAATTAAGTGCTAACTGTAAGTCAAACACTGAGCTGTTTATAGGCATGGGATAAGATGGAATCCTGACCCTAAAGAAGCTGTCAGAAAAGAGTTTAGGCAAGAAAAGGCAATACCATGAGAAACCTGCCACAGCAGTGCCTCTCCTCCATTGAAAGACATCTGCATCATCTGGGGTCTTGTGCAAAGGCAGATTCTGATCCAGCAGGGCTGAGGCAGGGCCTGGGAATCTGCATTTCTAACAAGCCTCTGTGTGATTCCAGTGCTGCTGGTCTGAGAACCACACTCAGTAGCAAGAGGCTAGAGGTTGCCATGGGGCATCTAGGAGGAGAATATCCCTCAGCAGAGATAAAGGTAAAGGAAGGCTCAGCAGAGCAGGCTCCATGCTGAGGATAAGTTAAGGATTCATCAGATGAGAGGCAGTGTTTTGGTGGGGAGGGTTTGGGTGGCAATGGCAGAGGTGACCTAATGTGGAGACCCTGAGGAGAGGCAGAGAGGAGCTTTGACTAGAATTGACAAGGAATTGCTGTCATTGCTGTAGTGCAGAAGGAGTAGATGAAAATGTCCAGCTCAGGCTGGGCGCGGTGGCTCAAGCCTGTAATCCCTGCACTTTGGGAGGCTGAGGCAGGCGGATCATGAGGTCAAGAGATCGAGACCATGGTGAAACCCCGTCTCTACTAAAAAATACAAAAATTAGCTGGGTGTGGTGGTGCACACCTATGGTCCCAGCTACTTAGGATGCTGAGGCAGGAGAATTGCTTGAGCCCGGGAAGCAGAGGTTGCAGTGAGCCGAGATCGCGCCACTGCACTCCAGCCTGGCAACAGAGCGAGACGCTGTCTCAAAAAAAAAAAAAAAAAATCCAGCTGTTGGATTATGGTTTGGATTAAGTCAGTCTGACCCAAGACACATTAGATGCTCAGTCAACAGAGGTTTATCTTCCCATGCAAGACATGTCTTACCAAAATATTCTAAAATTATCCAAAATGAGTAAAACTCTTCTACGTTAAATAGGGAAAGAGCCTGATCACAGCCCTTCAAACAATCTACACAAATACCCGCCCTCCCCCTCCACACACACATAATTGAGGGTGAAGTGTTTTCTAGATCGTTTCCTGAGCCCCCCCTTTCAGAATAGACCCAGGCTAGTAAAAGGGAATGTGGCTCTTAACAGTTCAACATTCTGACCTTTGTCCTTCCTGCTCCCAAACCTTGACACTTGTGTTAGTATCTTTTTCTGAAGTCAGGGACTTGGCAGAGACCTCCCTGTCATCTAATCTGAAGAACTCTTTGTTTATAGTTCTGAAGAGGCCCATTGTTTCCAACTCTCCATATTGTAAATTCATTTGCAGGGCAACAACTTCAGAAGAGAATACATCGTCACTCAGGGACCGCTTCCTGGGACCAAGGATGACTTCTGGAAAATGGTGTGGGAACAAAACGTTCACAACATCGTCATGGTGACCCAGTGTGTTGAGAAGGGCCGAGTGAGTAAACAGCCCTCCTGACATCCAAGCTTTGCTTTCTGCCACCTGGATAGAATTCTGCCCCACCATCCAAGTGAAACCCCGCAAAACCAAGTAGGGATCATGTGGGAACATTGTTAGAGTCTTTTGAACAGAGTGGCTTAAATCACTAATAGTAAACCCAGGTGATGCCTGATTCTGGGTCTGAAGTGCCAGTCAAAGCTGTTTCCATTTGAGGACTGGGATTTTCAGCAATGCCCATTACACCAAAAAATTACCTGGCCCTGGCCACTTGGCTACTCCATCTTCAGTGTATGGCCAGGGGAGAGACCCTGTCCCTCCTCCCAGGAAAGGAGAAGTGAGTTTTAGGCTGTGTTGGCAGACGCAAAGTCAAACAATTATCCAGACAAATTAAGCAAACACCTTGTAATGCACGTATCATCTTCTACGTTATATGGTTATTTTGAGGATTAAAAGAGAGATTACATGTAAAGTGCCCGGTATCTGCGTTCAGTAAATACGTGCTCACAATCCTCTTTCCCTTGTCTGTGCACATGTAAAGGCAAGCTTAGCTAAACGTTCTGACTTCTCAAAGATCTCTTGGCACAAGGCCCAAGTTAGGACAGTGACATATAAATACAAACAAAGCAAGGCCAGGAAGACAGTACCTTCCTCTACACAACTAGATATTTCTTTAGGAAGAACAATGAATTGTGAACCATAGTTTACCTGCTAGTGCAGCTGAAATGCTAAGAAAACCAATTTAAAAAAAGAAAAAAATCCTCAAGTCAGGTATCCCTAGGCCTAAAAAAGTGAGTGAATCCACAGATTGGGGTTGGGGGTGCTCCTTATGCAGTGTCTCCCCTTCACTTGGAGCAGCACCTCAGCTTCAGCACTGGCCAAGAGCAGGTTAATATAAAGTAGATGGTCAAATTGCTTTAGCGGCTGATCCGGGATTCCTAACTCAGGAAGGTGTTTAGAGGAGGGAAAGCCCATGTTCACAAGGAGTCACTCTTCCGGACTCACGTTGTTTCTGTTGTCTTTCAGGTAAAGTGTGACCATTATTGGCCAGCGGACCAGGATTCCCTCTACTATGGGGACCTCATCCTGCAGATGCTCTCAGAGTCCGTCCTGCCTGAGTGGACCATACGGGAGTTTAAGATATGCACTGTATGTTAGCTTGCTTGACTTCATTTAACAACCCAGCTGGGGGAGATGAAGGAGATCTGCTAATCCCACTTTTGCTGGTTCTTCTCTTGTAGTTTCAGCCCATAGGAATTGCTCCATGGCTCAGTTGTCAAGTTTGAAGGTTCCTCTTACTATCCTGCTCTCTGCTCTTACAGGAGGAACAGCTCGATGCACACAGACTCATCCGCCACTTTCACTATACGGTGTGGCCAGACCATGGAGTCCCGGAAACCACTCAGTCTCTGATCCAGTTTGTGAGGACTGTCAGGGACTACATCAACAGAAGCCCCGGTGCTGGGCCCACTGTGGTGCACTGCAGGTACGCAGAGATCTAGGACCCAAACGGCAGCCGTATGGGGGTTGTGCCTAGGAGCCTGGAAAAAGACATAAGCATGGGGAATTTAGTGGATCGAGGATTTGTCTGGACCACCCAGCCTGCCTCACCCCCAGGGAGTTTTATTACATTCCTCCCCTTCTCTCAAGGTCATTCTTCTTCCCTGGCTTCTCCTTTTCCACTTTCTTCCCCTCTAGCCTCTCTCTTGCCCTCACTCTCCAGCCTTCTCTCTCCCTCTTGCTCTTTTCCTACTTTCTGAAATGCAAAGTCCTGATGGGAATTCCATGCCTTCCATCATCAGGCGTGTATCACCTTCAGTCTAAGTTTCCAACAAACAACTCCTTTCCTTTCCCATTATAGCCAGAAAAGTGAGCACACACGCCTATTCTTGCCTCTGGGTAGTCTTCTGTTTTGGAATGGTTTTATCTCTCTGTTCCACCTAAGTGCTACCCATTCTTCAAGATTTACTTTCTAATCTTCCCTCTAGATCTAATAGTAGGTCTATTTGTGTGGCTAAAACAAAAATCACAGACTGGATAATAAGTAATAGAAATTTATTTCTCACCATCTAGAAGCTGGAAAGTCCAAGATCAAGGCGCTGGCAGGTTCCCTATCTGTCGAGCTTGGTCTCTGCTTCCAGGATGGTGCCTTGTGGCTGTGTCCTCACACGGAGGGAGGGATGGAAGGGCAAAGGGACCTAGCTAGTTCCCAGCAACCCTTTCTCAAGGCACCAATCCCCTTCATGAGGGCAGAGCCCCCATGGCCTAATCAGCTCCTAAAGGCTCCACCTCTTAATACTGTTGCATTGAAGATTAAGTTTCAACATGAATTTTTTGGAGGGGACACAAATGTTCAAACCACAGCATAGCAATTGCCATCTGTAGCACCTAATTTTTTCTCTCAAATTTATCTTCTCTTCAGTCTGCTCTGTACTTGCTATGTATCATTTCCACATGTTTAATACATTTCCTACATACATGTAAATCTAAACAGCATATTTATGTTTCAAAAATTTATTGAAATAGTTACATATATGCTTTATGTATCTTTTTGTCAACTTTCCTACTCAATATTATGTTTTCATAATATTGTTAGGTCCATAAAATCAACCAAACAAGTGAAATCTCACTCTCTCTGGGGAGCCTGGTGTTTGGCTAATTGATGTTTGCAGTAACACTTTGACAGCCCTGACTGAGTGGTACTAATAAATAAGGAGCAGGGAATTGCAGCGGGAAGAGAAATGCCAAGTGTACTTGTCTCCTCCCTGTCAGCCCAGCACCCTAAGAGCCATGCTTTTCCTGTGTCCTTGGAACCTTGACACTTTCAACAGGAAGGTGAGGTACTCAGAGCTTTCTGCTTTCTGAAAAGTGGCAGGCATTTTGTACAGGACCACCGGAGAACTGTTCTTTATGTTATAAATGTGTGTATCAAAAATCCCCAGATAATACAACCATTTTGGGGAGCAACTTGGCAATCCCTAGTGAAGTTGAAGGTATTCATGCCCTTTGACCAGACCAAGAGTTCTGCTTCTAGGTATCAGCCCCTGAGAAATCTCCACACTTATGCATGTTCATTGCAACACGTCTTAATAGAGAAAAACTAAAAATGATCTCATTGCCACTGGATTATCAGTGGTTTATGAAGAGAGTTAAAAGAAATTAGATCAGCTGGGTGTGGGATAGCCTGCCTTTCCCAACACTTTGGAGGCCAAGGTGGGAGGATCACTTGAGGCCAGGAGTTTGAGACCAGACTGGGCAACAAAGTTTTTTTTAATTAGCTGGGAGTAATTACACATGCCTGAGGTCCCAGCTACTCAGGAGGCTGAGGTGAGAGGAATGCTCGAGCCTGGGAGGTTGAGGTTGAGGCTGCAGGGAGCTATGCTTGTGCCACTGCACTGCAGCATGGGCAACAGAGCAAGACCCTGTGAAGGGGGTTGAGGAGGTGGGGAAGGAAGGAGGGAGGGGAGAGAGAAGAAAAGATGGAAAGAAATAAAGATCTATATGTAGCAACATGGATAAATCTGAAAACATATTGAATAGGAAAGTTGACAAAGATACCTAAAGCATGTATGTAGGAAAAGTATTAAAAAGCATGCGTGGAAATGATACATAGCAAGTGCAGAGCACTGTTTATCCCTGGTAGAGTGGAAAGAGATAGAAGGCTGCATGGAGGTAGGCTTGGGGGTACGGTAGGTTAAACTTGCTTAAGAGGAAAGAGCACACTGAGAGAAAGAAATAGTCCTATCCTCTCCCATAACTGGGAAGAGAAAGGAAAGATTGTGCCAAAGTCTTTGATGCAATCTTGAAAGGCAAATTTAACAAAAAGGCTCAATCTTCCTTTCCCACCTCTTCCAGTGCTGGTGTGGGTAGGACTGGAACCTTCATTGCATTGGACCGAATCCTCCAGCAGTTAGACTCCAAAGACACTGTGGACATTTACGGAGCCGTGCACGACCTGAGACTTCACAGGGTTCACATGGTCCAGACCGAGGTAAGAGTTACAGGCTGAAAGTTATAAGCCACCTTCTTCCCCACGATATCCCCACAGAAAAATATCCAGGACTTGAATATGACAAGGGGAAATAACTATGACACATTAGGAAGAGAAAAAGAGAACTAAATATAGATATTTTCTAAATCTCACTGGTCTTGAAGGTGACAATCTCGGGGATCGTTTTAAGGCAGGCTGGCAGATGAGCACAAGAACTTCAGTTAGGAAAGAAGATGTTAATGTCTCCTCTCCCCCAGCCCTACTCCCCCCACCTACACCCCCATTCGGAAGACACCAAGGGAGTGTGTTTGTTTAGACTGTAAACACTACATGCTTTGACATTTGTAGGGCATTTTTGAACCTGTCATCTCAATACATTTTCACAAAAACCAGGTGAGACATATTATATTCCATTTCCAGACTAGAAAATGAAGGTCTAAAAGCTTAAGGGCTTTGCACAAAGCCCATAGCCATGAAGTGGCTGAGGTGGCTTGGACACTTCTAGAGAATGCTGAGCCTACTAGCCTCACAGTCAGATCTCTTCCCTGACAGAGACCAAGCAGTCACTCCTCTGCATCAATGCCTTCCGAGGCTCAAGTTCCCTAAGTTTTTCTCAAAGTAACTATGCAGCATCCTTATTTGCACATTGTGTTACCTCTGCTCTCAAAGTCAGCCAGTGATATTGATAGTAGAGTCCCTCCTGGTTGCCAAAATGCATCACGAGTTTGGGGCAAGTGTATGGAAGCGATACATGGCCCAAGAATTTAAAAAAAAAAAAAATCCATGTTTGGAAAAGTAAAAAGTTCTACATGCTTCTGTATCCCCTCTTAGAGTTACAGTACCCGTGGCCACTGCACAGACAGCAGTGTTCCACAAAAAGAGAGCATCTAGAGCCAAGGCCCCATTTGAGCTTCATTGAACCTACTATTCCCAAAACCACCTTGACCCCTGAATTCTTTTCTTGCACATTACATATTAATATGCTGCATTCAAGCCAGCAACAACTGAACAAGAGAAATAAAAATTAAAAATATCCTGCAGAATTAACATTTGTCAAAACAGTGGCATCATTGTCTTCTGAAGGCAGGATCCTCTGCCACCACTGTTGTCCTGGACTGGGAGGACTTTCATTATAGCAATGATGCCATCATATTTTGAATGTTTTATTATGAAATTGTTTTTTAAAAAATGCACAAAACTTGGCTGGGTACAGTGGCTCATGCCTGTAATCCCAGCATTTTGGAAGGCCCAGGGGGCCAGATTACTTGAGGCCAGGAGTTTGACACCAGCCTAGGCCACATAGCAGGATCCCATCTCTGCAAAAAAATTAAAATATATATATATACAAAACTAGGGAAAGTAGTATAATGACTTTCCATGTATCCAAACCCCAGCTTCTACAATTATCAGCATTCTGTGTTCTTTTCCCATCTGTATCCTACATATAATGTTCTCCTACCCCAAGACATGACCTCACTGAAATATTTTAAAGCAAATCCCACTTAATCACATTATTTCATCCTTAAATATACATATGTATATACACATATACCTATGTCTATACATAGGTATATGCATATATGCATGTTTACACATGTACACATATAGATGTATATGCATGTGTAATGTCACATTACCTATGTGTTTACACATATGTGCACATGTATGTGTATACATGTGTGATGTGACATTGCATATAGATGTATACGTGTGGATACATGTGAAAATGTATATTCGTATGTATAAGTACGTATATTTGAAATAAGTACTCTTTAAAATTAAGAGCATAATGTCATTATCACATCTACTTTTTAACCATAGTTCCTAAATATCATCTAATATGCAGTATTTAAATATCCCTAATTATCTCAAAAAAATACTTTTATAAAAACCTGTAGTTGGTTTCCACTAGAATCCAGAGTTTACGTATTTCATTTGGTTGGCGTATCTCTGAAATCTCTTTTCATCTATAATCCTCCCTCCCATTTGTTTTCCATGCCATTTATTTGTTAAAAAGAAACCAGTTCATTTGTTCCACAGATTTTCCCACATTCTAGATGTGCTGATTGCTTGTTCGTGGTGGTAATGTATTCTTCTACTCTATATGGTTTTTGTTAGCTGGTGGTTAGATCTAGAGGCCTGATTAAACTCAGGTTCATTTCACCAACACAGTGCTCCGTGGCTGGTGCTAAGGGCTTTCTGTTGCATGACATCAGAAAGCAGATCACCACGTCTGTCTCTCTCTTTCAGCACTGAGGAAACTGACAGTGAGTTCAGGGGCTGTCAGCCTGAACCCTTCATTATCCCAGTCAACCTTTCACTTAATAGTGTTAGAAGCCACTGATGACCTCTGCCTAGCTCTGTTATTTCATTAAAGGTTGTTGAATTATATTACCCTGTATCATAATTGTTATCCTTCAGTTTTCCTCCACAAGACTGTGCATTTCTAGTGGGTGGGAACCTGTTTTCCTTCTCTACGTCCTCAGAATTTTTTAATCTGTTAAATGGATGAAGAAACATCCTATAATTACATTGCTAAAAAGCATTAATATTTGTTAGTTTACTGTCACTTTCACAAACTCAAACCCTAATTAATTTGTAACTTGGAGAAGAGGAGGTTATCATATTGTAAATAGTCTCGAACTATGTGTATTTGTGTGTGTGTAGGCTGTCTAGTAACTGCCAGAGGATTCTTGGGCCATCTATCCCTTTCATACACCTACCCCAAACTCATGATGCATTTGACAACCAGGAGGGACTCTACTGTCAGTATCACTGGCTGACTTTCAGAGCAGAGGTAACACAATGTGCAAAGCTCTTTCTCCTTAGAAACAACTGCATCTTTTCCCTATTCTGTTTTCCTTTTCCTCCTGCCTCACTGAGGATGCCGTGGCTTAGTTCCTCAGCTTGCCTTCTCAATGTTTCACTTCACCAACGTCTGCCTTCAAGGCACCGCCCTTTCTCTCAATCTTCATTCTTTGTAATATTTTCCATTCCTGTACAGGCTCATGTTACCCAAATCTAATTCTGCCTCCACAGACGCGTACGTACATGACTACCAGACGGATGCCCCCAAACGCCTGACAGCCATTTAACGTCAAAAAGATCAAAGCCAAACTCATTCGCTTTCTTTCAAAAAGCGAAACGAAACAACAACAAAAATATTCCTCCTGCTCTCTTGCTCCTTCCAGTGTCATTTAATAGTATTGCCATCCACATGTTTGCCCAAGCCAGGCAGCTGACTTCTTATATTTTTTGAGGGATGGGGTCTCATTATGTTGCCAAGACTGGACTCAAAGTCTGTGCTCAAACGATCTACAGGTGTGCTTCACCACACCTGTCACGCTTACATGCATGGATATGTGCATTTATTTGCTTCCTATTTCTATTTTCTGTTTATTTACATAGTGAGACATGTGAGACAAGATCTCACTATGTTGACCAGGCTAGACTCAAATTCCTGGGCTCAATGGAGTGGATTTCTTTCCCTGCAGTTCCCACATCCAAGCAGTCACGAAGTCCTTTCCTTCTCTTTGTGCTAGCCCCTCACCCCACTGCCACTGCCCCCACACAGCCCTTTATCAACTCTCATTAGCCCTGCTAATGAGTAGCCTCCTTGTGGGTCCCCTGCCCTCAGTTCTTCCCTAATGATCCTTCAACCACCTCTGCCACCATCAAAGTTCCCTTACTGACTCTGTCAGCTCCCTGCATAAAAATCATGAAAAGCTCACCACTGCTTGCAAAATGAAGTTCAAACCCCATCCTGCGTATAAGCCTCTTCATAACCTGGCCCCAGCTTGCTCCTCCAGCTTCATGTCATCGTACTAGACACCACCAGTGGTTAGGGTCTGCCAAATTAAGGAAGGTTTACCCACCTGGGCCAGAAGCGACTTTGAGTCTTTCCATCATAATGAAATAAACATTACAGTAAGATAAACTTTTCTCTTTCTCATTTTTCTCAATCAAACAAAATTCCAAATCCTATCCAGATATTAGGTTGGTGCAAAAGTTATCGTGTTTTCTGCCATTAAAAGTAATGACAATTACTTTTGCACCAACCTAGTATCATCTGTCTTGCTTTAAGTCTCTGCTGATGTTGAGTGGTTTTTACAGGCCGAGAATCCCTGGTGCCAGCTGGCATTTAGTAATGGGAGTGGGTGCAGAGGGGTGTGATCCAAGGCTAAGTCCCTGTAGGTGACCGTTTCAGCAAAAGATGGAGGACATTCGGACCCCTGCATTATTTTTTTGGGTCTATGGTGACAGTGAACTTCCACTTACCTCTGTCTTTGCTTGAGATACAAAGGGATGCAGGTCTTCACAATTTTTGATGACTCTATCAAACAGCAAGCATTTGTAAACAAGAGGCATTTGTCAGGCGACTCGTGAGCTTTCCTTCTTTTATACTGCTTTGAGGGAAATTTGCAGCTTGACCCTGAGAGAGACATTCGGAGAGCAATAACTTGTTAAAGAACAATAGATGATAGTCGCAGTCTCAATCTCATTTGCTTGTCCTGGGAAAGAAACACTGAGATGTTTTGGATGAAGGCTCTCAAGGTTCCATTTGGGGTATTGTTTGAGGTGTTTCCCATGACCCACGCAACCAGCATTTTAGCTGCACTGCACTTCTCACGGTTTCCAGAATATATGTGAAATGTTATGCTATGTTACCCTACTTCTTTGCTTGAATTCTTATAAATATCCTCTCTTCTCTTTAGCTTGATAGTTTCCTCCCCTAAAAGTGAACTTAATGGCTTTCTCTTCTATATGAAGCCTTATACACAATTCTATTTTATGCTGATCATCTTATAGGGATTTGTTCACTTAATACTAAACCATGCCCTCAGGGGTCACAGAAGACTGTAACTATGACACTGTAAATAATATCTGATACTGCAAATATTGATGAAATTGAATGGAACTGAGTGTGTCAATACTCAGCCAAGACTTCACCAGTTAGCAAAAAATTCTCTTCTATGATCTGAGGTTCATATGTTAGGCTTTGTCTACTTTTCATTAAGAATAAAATGAGAAGCACATTGACAATCTCACCGTTTTGGTAGTAATCATTTTCAAAGGGACATTCTATTGGGAAAAGAAGAATCTATATTTAAGACAAGGCAAATTAATGGATATTAACTAGTTTCAAAGCCCATGGTGAATCATTGGTAAAGAATTCATTAATGGGCCACAGCACACATGTACTAGAGTTCATTCACAGCTAAGGTCCCAAAGTAACTTAATATCCTAGTAGAATTGAAAATATGAATTATGCTTTGGGTGGGAGAAAACGGGAAGATGTCAGTCTGTAATTTGGTGGATCCTTTTAAGTTAGCCAAAAGAGAGAGACTGCTTTATACTAACAACCATTCTCTGGAGAGTACTTTTCTCAGACTTTCAATAGTATTGAGATTGTGTATAACATTCATAATGACAAATGTCTGTGAGCAGAAAAGCAGAGAATAGCTATCAATATTATTGCAGGCCTCACTTCTTATTGATTTGGTTGTTTAAAATGTCCTTATCTAGGCTGGGCAGAGTGTAATCCTAGCACTTTGGGAGGCCGAGGCAGGAGGCTGTCTTGAGGCCAAGAGTTTCAGGCCAGCCTGGGCAATAGAGCAAGACCCCATCTCTGAAAAACTTTTTAAAAAATTTCTCCAGGCCTGATGATGCACACCTGTAATCCCAGCTACTCAGGAGGCTGAGGTGTGAGAATCACTTAAGACTGGGAGTTCAAAGCTGCAGTGAGCTATGATTGTGTCACTGTACTCCAACTTAGGTGACAGAACAAGACCCTGTCTCTTAAAAAAAAATTAAATGTTCTTATCTATTGATTATACCAGACCTACCTTATGTAGTCCCATGGATAGATGACCAGGCTAGCTTCCAATCAGGGACAATATCTAGTGCCAATCCATAAAAATAAGTACCTGTTTACTTGGCAGGATTGTTAATGAGGAAAGATTGAATTGTTCTATTTTGTATCTCAAACCTCTAAAATACTTTGACTGACTGCACTGATTGCTTTAAACACAAGGTCTGGAAATATTTTCCATTATCTATCTGACTGACATCAACCTATATGCTTTAATGGACAAAGGCTGTTAGCTATAAGAGACCGTTGCCTCCTTGTTTAATAAACGGGAAAACTAGGATCCCAAGAAGCCTGATGGCTCAGCCTAGGCTGGGTAGAGGCTGCTGAGAGCCCAGTCTCCTTCACTGCTCACAACTCCCTCTGAGCAATTGCTCTATCAGCAAGGGAAGGTTTCATAGACATCCATTTCCTTGTAAGAGAGCCCAAGGAGTATAAGGAAGGGGACCCAATGCACAAGCTTGGCTGCCTGGTGCTGAGACACAGTGGTCAGTGGTGGTCTTTATGGTCACCAAAGCACTGACTCTTCTATATTTATATTTCAAAAGTAGTAAATTCTCAAATAGCTGTCAGGTGGGTCTGTCCTCACTCTGTAACCCCTGTAGTTCTCTGCAGTCAGCCAGCATCTTTGAGATTCTTCCATGTGGCAGACTCAGATGCTGAGAGAGCAGAGATGGATAAGACAATGACCTTGCACTCAAAGAACTAACAGCCCAGCAGGGTGGTTTGTACATACCTCTTTTTTTCCCACTATATTCCCAGAATAAAAAAACAAAACAGCACAGTATGCAGTGAAATGATTTTCTCATTCAGTAATGCAATGAAATTGGGATTCATCTATGAAAACTGCTGTAGTGAAAAAGACATGAACTTTGAGGTCACATCTCCAAGAACAAATCCCAGGACCCCATTTCTTAGCTGTGTGACCTTGGAGAAGTTACTTAACTTTTGAGTCTTAGTTTATACTGATCATTATATTTACTTCACAAGGTGGTTGAAATCATTAAACGAGATGATGTATGTAAACTACATAGTAGCCTTTGGCATTCGTTCATCTACTGAATTTGTGTAGGACCTACTATGTACTAGACACAGTTGTAGGTGCTCAAAGAACACACCACATATATATACATAAATATTAAAAGAATGAAAAATGCCACCTCTCTGCCCATTACCATCGTTCTCTTTTCAGTGGTAATAAAAGACAGTCACTCTTTCATTTATCAGAGACCATTAGTAAAGTGATGACCAAGAAACTTAACTATATACAATCCCGTCATTGTCCGTATTTTGTGAGAGCGCCTCATCTTTCTTCTGCATGTGAACAGGCCGTCCTCTGACATGTCTCTTATTTTCCACAGTGTCAGTATGTCTACCTGCATCAGTGTGTAAGAGATGTCCTCAGAGCAAGGAAGCTACGGAGTGAACAAGAAAACCCCTTGTTTCCCATCTACGAAAATGTGAATCCAGAGTATCACAGAGGTAGGTACTTACTTTACTCACTTCCGAATTCCTTCATCAAGATACGGTCGATACAGCCAGGCACAGAGGCTCACATCTGTAATCGCAGCATTTTGGGAGGCTGAGGCAGGAGGATCACTTGAGTCTAAGAGTTTGAAACCAGCGTGGGCAACATAACGAGACCCCATCTCTACAAAAAATTAAAAAAAAAAAAAAATTAGCCAGACATCCTGTGTAGTCCCAGCTACTTGGAAGGCTGAGGGAGAGGATCACTTGAGCTTGGGAGGTCAAGGCTGCAGTGAGCTGAGATCACACTACTGCACTCCACTGTGAGTGACAGAGCAAGATCCTGTCTCAAAGAAAAAAGAAAAAGATTCTAACTGGACGCAGTGGCTCACGCCTGTAATCCCAGCAATTCCTTACCATGTGGACTGTTATCTCTCTATAAATCAGATAATCTTTCTTTGACAAACATTATTTCACAAGTTCTTATCTCCATTTCTAAATGATCTTCAATTGGCAGTGTCTCCTAACCTTTTACTTAGTTCTCTGTTCCACCCAGCCTAGCCAGTATATTAACGAGTTAACAATCTATAAAGCACAAATAAAGAGCTACTATTTAGAGGAGTCCTTTGTAAATCAGATAATATTTTGTATGATAAATAATTACCCCTTAATTTATCTGTATAGTCATTTAAGGTTTTTGTATTGGAGATTCTTTAAGAAGCTTCAGGATAGAGTGAGTTCTGAAGGATCTGGGAGGTTCCTTTGTCTTGTTTTGACTTGTCTGAGAATCTTTAGAGTAATCTTGGGCAACTCTGAAAGCAGCTAACTATGGTATAGAAAAGGTTCACCACCAGGCACTGAAGCCTAAGATTCAGGTCCAAACTCTTGAACTAACTAGCATTAACAAGCTGTGTAACCTGAGTAAGTTACTCTGCCTCTCTGGGCCTATGGCTTCATCCATAAAAACAGAGGAGATGGGCTAGAATTACTAGTCCCTTCCAAGTCTAATAATCTGTGTTTCTAAATGGAATGACCTGGTCCCCTTAGGAATGGTCTCACCTTAAACCATGTTGGGCTTTATTCATTTCTGCTGGTCTTTCACATTGGTAATTTTCATAAACAACTATGACACACCCGGCTACAGTCTCTAATTTCAGTGTTCTTCCTTTCAGATCCAGTCTATTCAAGGCATTAAGAATGTACCTGAAGAGCTCCTGGATAAAAATTATTCACTGTGTGATTTGTTTATAAAAACTTGCTTCATGCCCTACAGAGGTGCCAGCTATTTCTGTTGATACTATGTATAATTTATTAATCTGGAGAATGTTTAAAATTTTATATAATTTAAAGGTAACATTATTGTACATAGTTGTATTTTGTAGTTTCTTCTGTAAATATGTGTTTTTCATAATGTTTAATATTAAGCTTTATATAATTCTATTTTTCCACACTAAAGTGTTCATGACTTGTTCTACATAAACTAATTCAACCTGTATAACAAGACTACTAGTTAAATGCATATGGAGGTGGTGGCAGAGACAATCCCTTAGGCCATGTTTTCTACCTGTTGTGATAGTCACTGGACAGGATAAAGGGCAAGGCTAGAGAGAGCAAATACTATGGCTAGCTTTGTTGCATTGCTGTCCCATGAATCTCGACAGCCAACAGGCATGTCCTAACATGCTATTAGGACAAATGTAACAGTCAAAAATAGGATTCGAGGGAGAAAAAGGAATTAAGCAGTACCAAAGCTGAACCGGGTGGTTGTGGCTGAACTAGCTGCTCTCTCTCCCTTCTCCTACCAGGGATTGAGGCCAAAGGGGTCTGGGATCATGTAACTTGCAGTCCAAGCCCAGGATGTAGGGTTGAGGGTTCTGACTGACAGAGAATAATTCCAAACAGAAGTGATGAATTCCTTTTGTTAAGAAGATGCCAGCTGTACCCAGACTAGAAACAACATGCAAAGCACTAACTATAGTGATTAGAGATTCTTTCATTGCATCCACGGTGTGGCGTGTGAGCAGGCACACCCATACTGTATTTATATTGTCTCTTTTTCAGTAGTCTCCATTCCTGGAAAAGTCACAATTATCCATTTCTACTTGGTTTCCCATTAAAAGAATATTATGGTGGCAGATCATGCCCCTGATTAAAAGACTTCATGCCAATAGTTTCATAGAAATGACTACAAACATATTTTAAATTTAAAAAAAAAAAAACAGCATGAACAAAAACAGCGGTCGTTAATAAAATTTTCAAAACTTTAGTAAATCAATGAAGTCAAAATGTCAAGGAGTCACCTAAAGTTGCACTTAATAACAAAAGGCACTACATACTGTACCAAGTTTATCTCCAATATTTGTGCCTTACTTTGACTACAACAAATTCCAGTGAATCAGAAAGTGGGCATTCCCTTCATCAAGGTCAGTTCTGAGAGCGTTCCTGGGAAAAATCTGAAAGGCATTTGTATGGAATCTTCATAGATGCCTGAGAAGATGAGCTGGAGATGTTGGCCTTTTTCATGCTACAAATTTTTCTGTAATAAACTTGGGAATTAGAGGTCAAGTGTATTTGTTGATGGCACAGCTTCATTTGCAGAAAGAGTACATTTCTTTTCAAAGTATGTATTTCTGTAACCTACCATAAAGTCCCCTAAGTAATACAATGAATGTAATTGACATAATAATTGAAAATCATTGACTATACCTAAAAGAGTTATTTATAGTTAAATAACTCTATACCCAATCTGGAAAATTTTTCCAGGGTTATTTGAAGTTTACAAAAATGTGAAGCATAATAAGTTTCAAAGTTCCACAGTTTCGTTGTGCTCAATGCCCTTGTGAAATGACAGACTTAGGCTCTGATTCTGTATCAGGGAGCTAAGTGGATCTTCTGGAAATGAAAAGGAACAACGTATGCGTAAGTGCAGTAGATGTACCACCAGCGAGAAAACAGAGGTCAGATTTACAAGGCGCGGCATCTATGAGAAATCACCTTTCCTATATTGAAAAGAAAAAGCAAAAATAGAGGAGGATTTTACACTAGTATTGCTTGACGCAAAGCACATTGATGCCTGGAAGGATACATTCATTTTTGACTTTTCATTCACTCAGAAAACTTTTAGTAAGTGCCTGCAACCTGCTAGACACTGTTCCAGAATCTACGCAGTTGTACTCATATAAAGAGAAGCCTCATAAAGTTAGGACTATTGTTACTACCTTGAATTGAGCTTAGAAGAGGGCCTCATCAAGGGAATGGGATAACTGACTGGTTTAGACAGTGGTCACCGTCCACAGGCCACACACTGGCAAGTGCTAATGCTACTTCAATAGCAAACCTCTGGATCTAGAAGAAAGAGCAATTGGACAAACCAGGAATTAAAACCATAAAAAACCTATACATCTGTAATAGTAAATAACACTCACATACCCTGGCGACATCAAGGGTAGTATCAGAATTATGTAAATGGACATGACAGGAAAACATTGTCGGTTCTTTTAGTCTACTCAGGAAATATTTATTCCTTCCCTACACCTAATTTTAAACCTCCTTAGCAACAAACATTTCAACATTCTCTCCTGCTCCCAGGAAGACTAAATACATAATTAATCTATTTATTAAATTAAGAGACAAAAAAGTTTTTCTTGACATTCAGCTCTGTTGGATGTATTTTCATTTAATTGCATCGTGTGTTATGTCTTGGTAAACACTTCATTTCCTGTCTCGGTGGACATCCTGTCTGTGCACCTGTGCAGTACACTTCAATCATCAAGGCTTCAAAGTGCTTTCGAGCTATCAAATCTTGGGAGAGTCCCATCTAGCATCTTAATAATTACTTTTCCAAGTTCTTTATAATTAACTCCTTTAATCTCATCTCATTAAATCAATTTTGTATTATCATTTTGTTGTTCTCTGGAAAGCAGCCAATTGTTCAGCTCTTGAATCAATTTTCAGACTCACCTCTCTTATCTGGGCTTGCACATATTTTTCCTAAGTAATTCTCCATCCCTTAAAGCTGAGTCCCTCTGTTTCATTACTCACCCTACTCCTTCCTGTTGAATATGTTCATTTTCCCAGTTGAATTTAATTTTTATCTACTGTTCATATTATCTTTTATACCCATGAGGATAATTTCATAGTCCTTTCAGGTTCCAAATTATCGAAGAGATGACCATAATTTCCCTTTTTTTAATTTTTTTGAGACATAGACTTGATCTTGTCACCCAGGCTGGAGCACAGTGGTGCAATCTTGGCTCACTGCAAACTCTGCTTCCCAGGTTCAAGTGATTCTCCTGCCTCAGCTTCGAAAGCTGAGATTACAGATGCCCACCCACCATGCCCGGCTAAATTTTGTGTTTTTAGGAGAGACGGGGTTTCACCATGTTGGCCTCAAGTGATCAGCCCACCTTGGCCTCCCAAAGTGCTAGGATTACAAGCGTGAGCCACTGCGCCCATCCAATTTCATTTTTAAATATTAAAAGGAACACAGCATACAGACATTTTGAAGCCAGTTTTATCTGGAAAGGTCTTTGATTAATTTTGTAATTACCTCTCAGAAGAAAGCCCAAAACAACATGTGAAAATAATATTAAACCATTTAGCAGATGTCCAGCAATACAAAAATAGACCTCACATGCTACCCTTCACATGCTGATTCTCTTGCCTTCGTGTACAAGGATACAGTTTTTTATGTTACATATTTTCCTTACCCTTTGCAATAAAATTGTTGGCCATATACTAAATTCTCATTCACTTAATTTTCTGGGAATGCTTTGAGGTTGGAATCCTGAAATCATAAAGCTACCAATCCGCACAACAGCAGTGGTAGTATCTGAACCCTAACTCTGGGACACTCTAGAATTTTAGCCTACAAACATGAGCCAGACCAAACCTGATCTGGTGAAAATCAATACATAATAAGCTGCTTGTTTGTGATATCAGTTCAAGGGCTTTCTGTGTTCCATTTCATTGAGGAAATGAAAACATTATAACTGATTAGCCAAGAAAGAGTAGAAATAGGGAATAGCTGATCTTCCTCCAAGTTACAGTGAGCAAGCTCTCAAGACTACCTCATTCCTGAAGAGTTGAAGGAGAAAATGCCCTGCTAATTTTCTGCCCTGCTATTTTTAACCTGAAATTTAAACTCACATCAGGTATTCAAAGAATGTTCCAAATTAAAGGAAAAATCTATAAACTGCAACTGCAGAAAGCAAGTGAAATAATACAAAGAGAAAATATTTGTAAAAGAGAATCTAACCAGACATCATCAGGAAGACAAAATGGCACCTCTTCTGTGTGGACTGGGTGTGCTTGGACAATTCTGTCATACGTTTCTATTATTATTGCCCTTTTGGGGATTCACTCTGACTACGTTGGCCAGATGATTTAACTGATTAAACAATTGAATCAGTTATTTTGCTTTTTGAATTGACCAGATGTTTAACTAAATGTACTGAGTCTGGCATTTTAGACACACTGCCTTAGATTCTTCTAGTGCATGATGACTTTGAAAATGTTTGGCCATTTTAGTTAAAATGCAGGATAACATTTGATGCAGCCATGATAACAGGAAAAATCTGTTCTGTTCTAAAAATGTTTCTAGCAATAGAAGTATTTCTGGCTAAGAGAATACTCTTGACTGGTAGGGCGGCTCCCTCGGAATAAATGTATGCAACACAAATAAGGCATTTTATTTTTTAAAAGATTATCTATATAGATGCACTTATTAAAGAAATTATTGGTGAATACACCAAAAATAGAGGCTTAAGTAATGGAAATAAGAGATAAACAGGTTTACCGAAGATTATTTTTATAACCTGTATGCCAATTCACATGATCTTATATAAGACACCAAAATAAGTTATTCAAAACTGTGAATAATGTCAGACAAATGCAATGTGTCCCTTCTAGAACAGTCATAAGGACTGGTATAGCTGTTTTAAGAAATACTATCCTCACGCTAAGAACAAACTTTCAGTGATGTTGAGATATTCTAATAGCTGTGTGCATAGATAAGAACTCCACCAAGAAAGGAACACATGCAGCTGTAGCTTTCGAGCTTATGGCGGAGTTGGACAGCATTCCATCTGTAGGTTAGGAGGAAAGTCTGCACCAGCCTTTGTGGAATGTCCGAATCTGCCACACTGGCAAGAGGGTTCACCAGTGCTCTACCAGAAGCATATTTCTGGTTTTCCACACAGGACTATTGCGATTATAAATTCTTCAAGAATAGGAACCAAGTCTTTAATCTTGTCTCTACTCCTACCTTGTGGAAGTCAGTTCACAGCTCTTAGGTATTCTACACACACTTCTTGAAATTGCTCTGGTCTGATACTTTGGATGTTAGGTAGTCAGTGTCCCATAATACTGTGGTCCGTGGAGATTAATCCAGCTGTTCCTTCATTTGTGTGAAGCATAAAGAATGTAAGTAAATACAGAAACTGAACTTATTATGTTCTATAATAGAGGACTTTTATGTTTTTAATACCATTTTTTTTCTCTAAAAATCCAATTAAGATGGCAGTAGATGATTCTATTTTTTTATACAATAGCATCCACCTACAATATTGTGTTTCTAACTAACTCTATTCGAACAAAAAACTTCCTTAGTCTTTCAATTTAAATTATGTAGTTGCTCAATATATTTTTATATTTGTTACTGGTCAAAAAAATCTATATAGCATCTTGCATTCATTCTCACTAGTATAGGAATAAAACTGTAGTTTGTTGAAGGAAAGCGTTCTGTCTTCTATTCGCCTGCTCCTCATTTATCAATTTTTGTCATCCGTCTGTTTAGGAGAAAGGCCAAAAGTGACTGCTTTTAAACAAGAAAAATCTTCCAGGACATTATCATGAAGAACATAGTTGTCTTAACCTTTAATCCTTTAAGTACTGAGTTGGTTATCTACAGTATTGCCTATACATAATAGACTCTCCAGCTGACCGTCTCCAACTAAATGCCTCTTTTCAGTTCTTTACTTCATTAATAACCAAAATGTCATCTGTTACCAACAGTGTTGGTGGACTCTGAGAGGTACTGCCCTGGCTGGATTGCCACTGAGCCCTTCAGAGACACCTCACACATTTGGTAAAGGGCTGCAGTGCCTACTTCCAGAGTTATAAGTTTTCCCTTTTGCTTCTTTCATATTTTAGTGGAAAGATCAGTGTCCTTCACAACTCCAATATTTCATTTTTCTATAACCTGCTCACAGAAACCTTTCACTGTCTCTTTTTTTTTTTTTTTTTTTTTGGGATGGAGTTCCACTCCTGTTGCCCAGGCTGAAGTGCGACAGCGTGACCTCAGTTCACCGCAACCTCCGCCTCCCGGGTTCAAGCAATTCTCCTGCCTCAGCCTCCCTAGTAGCTGGGATTATAGGCATGCGCCACTACGCCTGGCTAATTTTGTATTTTTGACAAAGACGGGGTTTCTCCATGTTGATCAGGCTGTCTCGAACTCCTGACGTCAGGTGATCCACTGGCCTCAGCCTCCCAAAGTGCCGGGATTATAGGCATGAGCCACCGCGCCCAGCCAGAAACCATTGTGCCCAGCCAGAAACCATTGTTTT